ACAAACAAAAAAAAAGGGGGCTTTTCTCGTACCAAACGAATTCCTCTTTTTTCCTTTCCCTCCGGCCTCGTATTGCTGTGCTCCCTGCTCCCCTGTTGTTGGTGCCTTTTACCCTACCCCCCTTCTTCTCGCCGTCCTCTCTTTGTCCCTTAGCGACTTACACTCGCCTGCCTTTTCTATATATATATATAATGTGTGTGTAGTGTAGGTGCAGTCCGGCGTGAACGCCGCTATACTGCAGCAGCCCCCAAGCCCGCCAAGAGAAGAAGCACGCAGAAACAGAGAGAGAGAGAGAAAGAGCAGGAAAGGAGGCATCGCAAACTTTCACGCAGAGGCTGCATTAGACAGCAGCGCATCGGCTTCAGTTTACTCGCATCAGCCCAGTAGTTTTCTTTTTGTTTTATTTTTATTCTAGACTACATTCGTCAAAATTCATTTGCATTGCCTCTTTTTTTGTTTTGTTTTTTGTTTTCCTTTGGTGTACTTTATGGCCTCTTCTCGTCTCGCACCCATCCATGAGACAGAGAGGAAGAGGCACGCGGGGAAAATCACATGACTGTGCCCACCCCACAAATGACGTGCACCCACTTCCTTCCCCCCCCCCCCACCACCACCATCACCACTCAAACCGTTGCAACTCCCACACGTTGTGGGCGGCACGCAAGCAACATTATGTACATTCATCGCTAACCATATCCATCGACCTGCACAGATGTTGGTATCGATGGACAGATAAACATTTATATATAAGTAACTCCTCTTCTTGTTGGTTTCCAGGCGTCTGCTTTTTTGGATTTGTCCTTCTTTTGTTTTTGTTTTTGTTTTTGCCGTGAAGAAGGATGTATTCGCATCGGTGCGTGCGTGTGTTCGTCAAATAATTACAGGTAGATGTCCTTCCTGCTCCGACTTTCCCGTCTCTTCGCCGTCGTCTTCGGCACCCAGTCGCGAGTTCACTCCTTCCTCGCCAATGCACGATGCGTGGCGGGCCCCAACTATTCCTCCCGCCCTGCCCCGGTGCGGTGAGACGGCGCCACCGCACACACGCACACACACGCACAAACACACCACGCACGCACACACCTCCCCTCCAACTCTCTCCCCCCGCGCCGTCAATAAACCTCCTCCTGTGGGACGACGTAGTTGATGGGAAACAGCCCTGTGCGTTGGTTGCACACACCCTTAAACCAGCCCTCCTCCTGGGCTCGGTTCACGCATACAATCAAGTCGCCCTCCTCAAAGGTTAACTCATCGGGGGCGCGGGCCTTGTAGGAGTACAAGGCCCTCATTACCGTTCCCTCCATCCGCGGGGGGCGTGACAACGCAGTAGTGGTGCCCGTACCCCCGACCACGTCCGTGGCAGCCATAGGCGACGAACGCCCTGGCGTCTCGGAGACGATGGTTCCCGTCATAGACATCCTTGCCCTCTCTCGTGCCCCTGCAGGGCCAGCGATGGCGGCGCCCTGCGACGTGGTTGCCGCAATCTGCGGGATGCGTTCTGACCCGTCGGACCGCTTCTCTAATAGGGCGTTCACGCGCCTCTGAAGCACGGTGTAATCCTTCTTTGCAATGGTGGGGAGTCGCAGGCGCTGATGCATGGAACGCTCCTTGGTCTCGGCGTCAATGGTGGAGCGAAGCTCGGCCAGCGTCATCAACTCCTCCATGCGCACCCTGTCGTCGTAGGAGATGGAGGGGGTCATAAACTCACGGTAGTCGAGAATTGTACTGCAGCGATTCAGGTTAATCTTCTCTACAATGTCGCGTGGGTGAACGTACTCCACGCCGGCAAACTGCAGGGATCGCAGCGTGGGCTCAATCGCCCTTTCTGCCTTTTCTAACTTGTGTCGAACGTACAGCACCTCCTGCGACACCTCGCGCCGCTTCAGCAGGAGGTCGTTATTTAACTCGGCGTAGCGTTTGGCGTTGGTGTCAAGTCGGTCCGAGAGCATCTCCTTCCTCATCTCGTTGCTCTCAATCTCCTTCTCAAGCTGCTCCAGCCGCCGCTCCTTGCGGTAAAGGTAGCGGCTTGCCGCAATGTAGTAGTCCGAGAAGCGCTTAAAATGATGCTGCTGCACAAGCCGCAGCATCTCACTCAGCGCGTTCTGCTGCTTGTCGTACTTGCTCGTGATGCTGTCGCAGCCATCCAAGACGAAGTTGTTGAGCGCCGTCGCAATTTCCTTTGCCGCCAAGGAGTTGTTGATCATGCCCTGCAGCCTCTGCGCATGCTCCGCGGCGGCCCTTATAAACGCCTCATGTCCGCTGCGTCGGCCGGCCTCGTGTTCCTCCATCTGCAGCCGGCGGTCGATCTCCTTGCGACGCTGACGGGCAAGCGTGGTCAACTCCATCTGACACCGTCGCAACTCCTCATACAGTTCGTAGATGCGATTCCACACACCCTGCTGTCTCTCCTTGTTTTTCTGCAGAAATTCGTCGGAGAGGTTGCGATCCGCCTCATACCGCTTGCGTTGGTGGGAGTCGTCGTTGCTGTAGTTCTCAATCTGCTCCTTGATCTTCATGAGGTCCTCCTCGCAGGCCTCTATCTGGCGGTACTTCCCCTCAATGACGGCGGTGATGTCTTTGTCGGCCATGCGAAAAATGGCCCACCGCCGCCGCCGGTCGCTGTCGCGCGACTCCGTGTAGTAGTTCGTGATGATGGGGTACTGGTCCGTGATGAGGGTGAGGATGCGCTCGTAGATCTCCAGCTGACGCAGCGAGATGTCCTCCGCGAGCCCCATCTCGCCGTTGGCGATGCTCGCCTCCAGCAGCTGCTCGCACTGGTCGATGTCGGGTGAGAGGTCCTCGATGGCGTTTTGAAACTCCGTGAGGTCCCCAAAGACCCCGCGGGTGTTGCCGTCGTCGCGCAGCTTTGTCTTGAGCGCGTTGGTGATGAAGAGCAGCTCTCGCGACTCAAACACGACGTTCCTCAGCTCCGACTCGCACTCCTCGATGAAGCGCCGCTGCTTGGGGGAAATAAACGCCTGCACCTTGAGCTGCTGCAGAGAGGAGATGAGGTTGACGAGGTCGGGCAGCGTGGCGTGCTGCTCCATGTTCACCCCCGCGACGATAAGCCGTTTCTCACTCATGTGCAGGTTGCAGTGCTGAATTATCGTCTTGCTGCACCAGTAGCTGCCGGACTCCACCGCGACGCTCTGCTGCAGCTCCGACAGCTGCTGCTCGCACAGCTCAAACTGCAGATCCAGCTGGGCAATGGTCGCGTCCAGCCACTGATGGAACTTCTGCTGGAACGTCTCGTCGGAGGCAACCCCTTCAAGCTTGTCCTCCTCCTGTACATAGATGCGCTTGTTGCGCTGAAAGATCGTCGCCGCAGCCGCAGCCGTCGTCGTCGACGCCGTCGTCATTGTCGCGCCCGCCTTTTTTCTCTCTTTTTTTTATTTTTCCTTGGCGGGGGTTTCTCTTCAGCAAACTCCTCCTATGCGTTGTTTTGCAGACGGCGTGACGCCCGGACGAAGGCGCCAGAGAAAGAAAGAGAGAGTGAGTGAGAGCGGCGCGCAAGCGACGAGAAAACAGAAAAAGCAGCAGCAAGGCCAAAAAGAGAGAATCAAAGGAAATATAAGCTCTTCTCGCGCGGGCAAGGGAAACGAGCCTGCCACCAAAGCAGCGCAACACAAATATTGGGGAACAGCGGGCTCGCTGCACACACTCCCACGAGGCCTTCCTCGCTCTCGATACAAACTGTTGCTGAAGGCTGCACGTGTGCACGTCTATAATACGGCCCACACGCAACACGCCGAGCTACCTTGAGGGAAGGAGCTGCTGGAGAAACGAGTCTTTCCACTCGGCGTACTCCAAGAGCTCTGCCTCGCCTGCCAGGCCGTCCAGACTCGTCTCGTCAAAATCCTCCTCGCTGACGTCAGTGGGAAGAAGCATGCCGTGTGTGCCGTATTGAATCACGTCAAGAATCGCCGAAGGATCCATAACTGCCTTGGGGGCACGCACAGTGGCATTGCCGGAGTCACCGCGACCCACAGATGGCGGGGAGGAGGAAGCAGTAGAGTGCGTCACGGAATGGTGCGGGTCTGTAAAGTCCGCTGCCTCAGCTGAAGGCGCCGCTGCGTCCATAGCTGCACACACGTGACGAGAAGAATGAAGATGATCGTCCCTAGCAAGACTATTCTTCGGCTCATGTAGGTCTAGAGGCGCTCCAGGCTTGGTGTGCTGCTCTTCTGCAATTGCAAATTGTGGTGACCGCCGCCTCTCTCGCCGCAGCGTCTCCTCCAACTCCTGCATGTGGCTTTTCAGTGCGCCTTCGCGTTTCTTAAGGGTTCGAATATGTGCCACGACCGTGTCGTACATTCTTTTGGCGCCCCCCGCCAACGCGCGAGGCGAAGCCGTTGCCACCCCACTGGCCGCGGGACTCGCCGAAGGAAAATCGTCGAGTAAGAGAAGCAGCAGGCTGCCCAGCGCCTGTTCCAGCAGCGCCTTGTCGCCCGCGGCCGCTTGCCGGGCATCACTCTCGCCACACACCTGCGGCGGCGGCAGCGACGCCGACATTGCCAACGGGGATGCGTGTCGTGAGGGTGGCGAGCCTCCGCATGCGTACCCTGTGCGTTCGAGGGCCGAGTGTGAGGTGAAACGTCTGCCCCCGACGCCCCGCAATTCCCACGAGGTGGAGAGACACCCATCAGCGTCCCCCCTCGGTTGCTGCTGTTGTTGCTGCTGCGGCTGCCCCACGCGGGGGGCAACTAACGACGACGACGACGACGACGATGGCAACGCAGGCGTTTCACGGGCGCGTCCGACCTTCGTTTTCCTTGCCGCGCCGCGTCTGGCAGCATGCCGTTCACACCTCGCCTGCGTCTGCGCGAGCTGCGCCTCGAGGAGGTAGATGCACTTCTCCTGCGCACGTTGTTGCCTTTGCAAAAGGTGAACCGTGGCGCGTAGCGCCTTCGCGTCCGCCGTCACAGCATCCAGCTGTGCGGCGGCGCGTTGCAGGAGATGACGGTAGAGCCGCACTGGATTCCGTGAGCTGCGCTCCAGCTGCGAAAAGAGGGCCTCCGCATGATGGGCGGCGTTACTCTGCAGCATTCCCCCCTCCCCCTCCTGTGCGTCTGTGGTTGGGCTACTGGAACGGCGCGGCCCTCCCTGCTCCCGCTTCTTTTCTTTGTGCAGGGGAACTCGCGTGGTTGTCGTCGTTGCCTTCCGTCGCCCTTCTCCTTGACGCCGCCGCCGCCGCCGTAGTTGAGCCGCCGCGTGTTGCGTCCAATCCGATGGGGACCAAAAGAAACAGAAAGAGTGCTTGCGTGAGAAGCAAGCAGGAAAGGAAAAGCAGGAAATAGGTATATATATATATACACATACGTAAAGGTCATGAGAGAAATTACGTCCTTCTCCCTGCTTCATGCAAGTCAAAACTAAAAAAAAATTTTCCTCATTCTTCCGGCCAGCCCTTCCATCTCTTTGTGTTTTGTTTTTCCTACTTACTTTTCAGCGGGGTCCTCCACCTCACCGTAGAACACACGTGTTAGCTCTGCACTGGTGTACATGCAAAGAACGGGAGCCGGAAACGCCCCCGGCTCCTTCTGCCCTACTCCTTGTCCTCCCCCTGTCTGGGGGGGAAAAAAAAAATTGTAAACACTTGAGCACAGTTAATCAGACATCAAAATGTAGAAAATTGTATTTATCCCACAGCTTCCTTGTCTTGTGTTGACTGACTGACGCAGCCGCAAATATCCCCCCGTGCAGTTGTCTGCTGGGTTTCGTTGGTTGATGATTAAGTATTGTTAACATCTCCCACTCCCTCCCCCGCCCCCTTTAAGGCCTCGCTCGCTTTCTCGTTCTCTTTGTGTGCACAACGGGAAAGAGCAAATGCAGACCACGCTAATTCTAGCAGGTGCATGTGCATATACACGCCGCAGTGTCGTACAGTTAGTAACCGTGAGATGTTGCGAACTGCGCCCAACACAACCACCAAAAAAAAAAAAGAGCTCCCCTCCCCTTCTCGCACCTTTTGCCGACGGCGTGGCGGAGGAGAATTGCTCGCCGCCTTCATTCTTTCTTCGTTTTTTTTCCCACCTTTTTCTTGCACGCCCCTCCCCCCGACGGAAGCGCCCCACACACGAGCGGAGTTCCCCCCCCCCCTCCTCGCCTGCCTCGAATTCCCTTTCACGCAGAAGCAGCGGCGGCCTCTTCTGCCCTGTCGAGATCCTCGTGGGTCAAAGTGAGTCGCGGGGTGCCAATGTACACGCGCAGCGCGCTCACCGGTGATAAGAGGCCCGTGATGATCGTCTTGTCCTCACGCACCGCCGTGCCGCAGTAGACGTCGCCGATCACCCAGCCGCCGAGGATGGCGTAGTAGTCGTCCCTCTTCGGCAGGCGGAAGAGCTCCTGGTAGACCACCTCGCGGTCGGAGAAGTTGCCACCCGACTCCGCGGCCACCGCGCCCGAGGGCTCCGTGATGGTCACGTTACGGCCCACGCGGCCAACTATAGGCTTCCTCGCGTAGCCGGTGCGCCGCAGCTCGTCCGTCAGCTCATAGCTGGCCCGCAGCACGGCGGGGTGGTCCGGGTGGTTGTTGTAAATGATGGGCAGAATAGCCTTGTTGCTTGGGATGAGCTTCCACATCGGCTCAAACACGCGCAGGTCCCAGTTCGGCCCAAGAATGATGTCGGAGAGGCGGACCTTGTCCTGCGGGGTCGGCTGCCAGCCCTGCCCACGCTGCAACCGCGCCTCGCGCTGATCCGCAATTGCGGTCTCCCACATCCACGTCTTCCAGACAGCTGTGACGGCGACACCGTCGGTGTCCACAACGACGCCGTTCTCGTCAAAATGAAATTCATCAAAAAGGACGCATAGTTTTGTGTCTAGGCCGACCGCGCGGGCCTGCTCCAAAACGTACAAGGCAGTGTACTGCTCCTCCAAGTCGTCGTCGACAAGGAAGTGGACACGGCCTTTCACTCCTGCCATCTCCCACGCCATCCTCAGTCGCGAGGAAACGAAAATCCCTGAGCTTTGCGTTGTGCCATCGTCGAGACCAACCGACTGCGCCCACTTCTCCTGAATGTCACCACACTCCAGCAGCGTTGATGCACTGTCGGCGTTGTACTCAAAGCACTTAAATTGCTGTGTCTCTTCATCAAAGGCAAAGTCAAAACGTCCCGTGATAGCGTGGGGCTGTGTCTTCCAGGAATGGCGAATGCGCGGCCAATACTCCTCTGGGATACCGAACAGCTTTAGTTGTGCGTCACTTGCGATGACAAATTCGGTGGCCTCCAAAAACATTTGATGCATCTGATTGCCGTAACGTATGCATGTCATGGAAAGCTCCGTGTTCATTTGATAATAACTTGCCGTGGACTCCCCGCTCCGCTTCACGTTCAGACCAAAGGTCTTGGCAAAGCACGCCTCTGCCTCATTTGTGAGATCCAGCCAATTCTCCTTGTGGGAAGTCGGCGTAAACGTCACACGGCGCAGCGAGGGCTTCTCCGGTGGCTTAAAGCGCAGCGACTCATGCAACACCAACGGCAGGCTTGGGTCGCGGTCGGGGGTGTCAGGGAACGTCACCCACCCGAGCGGGTTCAGCACGCCGTCTTCGATGTGGTCCAAAATCGTCCAGACGCCCTTCTCGTGGCTTAGCGGCAGCTGCGCCGCGTAATTGCCCTCCCACTTGTGAAAGCGGTGGTTTTGGTCCGCGATGCGAACCCAGTCGTCCCCAACCTCAGTGATCACCGCGACGTGGCCCACAGGGCTGCCTTCTTCGGAGGGGTAAATAAGAAGAGCGTCGGCCACCGGCTTCACCTTGGTGCCGTTGCGCACCGGCACGCAACGCACAGGCTGCGCCGTGCGGGCGTCGGGAACCTCCTTCAGCTGAAAAATGTGCACAGCCCAGCTGACTTCGGGCAGAACGAGGGACTTGCGTTCAAACAACCAGCGCCGCGCAAACTCCACGCACTGATACTTATATCCACAGAAAAGGTTTTTATCAACGCTGCGCTCCCCGGAAAAGTACATGTCATGTTTGTTGCTGTAGGCAGGAATGCCGCCGGGGGCGTAGCCCTGCAGCTCTCCAAACGGAAGGTGCAAAGAGCCTGTAGTCGTCATTTCTTCTCCCTCCAGATGTCTGGACGTGCGCCGATGCCTGCTTCTGCCTATTTTGCTTTATTTTTGGTTGTAAAATAAACGAGCCTCCAGAAAGGCAGCAGCGTCAGGGTGTCTTCCGTCTCTCTGTGTTGGTGTTGGTGTTACTGTTTTTTTTTTGCTGGCTTCGTCCCACCACCCACCTTTATTTCTTTCTTTCCTTTTCGCTCTTATTCTCCTTCACTTATTCTTCCCTCGCTTCTCCCTTGTTTTTACCTGCTGCTATCTTACCACTCGCTACGAAATCCTCTTCCCCTCGCGTCTATGCTTTGATTGCCTGGTGTTCTGCCGGTGTCTCCCTCCAGCCAGCGAGGGGTGGAGGAATGAGAAGGAGAAGGAGACATGGACGAGACACGCCGGCGGCACACGGCCCGCAGCACAGCGGCAGACGGAGAGAACCCGGTGCAGGCTTTCTTGCAGACACGCACACAGAGACACACATGCAAAACGTCTCTCTCTCCCCCTCTCCTCCCACCCCCAGATAGCTTCCGCCGGAGTTTTTTTTTGTTTTTGCTTTTTTCCCCCTTCGGCGTTGCCTCATGCAGCGGCATGCACTTCCCGCTACGAAACGGCGCTTCGCTACTACTGATTGATGCCTGGACGCCGCGGGGCAATCGACGCGGGGTGCCCGTCGCCGGTTGCGTCATATCCCTCCTTCGCGGCCGTTTCCCGCTCGCCCTCGAGCATCACCTGCTGCTCCCGCTCGCGGCCGAACACGCGAATGTCCGTGAGGACCTCGCGCGGCGCGATGGCGGTCCCATCCAACGCACGCTGGGTCCCCCGCATCAAACTCCGTCCCTCCGTCTCCACCGCCTCCACTAACTCGCGGCGCTTGCCGATCCAGCCGTCGGCCTCCAGCAGCGTTCGCGGGGGCGGCAGGCCGGGGTACAGCGCGGTGCGTCCGGGATCTATCGTGGACTCCGGCGTCTCCCAGGCGTCCTCCAAAAAGGCACGCCCAAACTCTTCGAGCAGCCGCGGCGGGACATACACCTCGACGCGAAAGCGCGGATTCACAATGAGACTCTCCTTTGCCTCGTTACTAATGCGGTGAAAGCCCTTGATGAGGGCTTGCTGGCTCAGCTTGCCCAGCTCGTGGCGCAGGTTCTCCCCGCACGTGTCACACGAGAGGGCGGGGATGCGCACGACGTCCGCCGGACCGCCAGGCAGCTCTACCGCCTCGTAGAGCACGTTGCGGTAGCCGCAGATCAGCTCCACCTGCGCCTCCTCCCGTCTAAACCGCCCCAAGTCCAGATAGGGATCAATGCAGAGTGCCACCGCATACTCCGTGTCGCCGTGGCTCGCGCCGCGCCTGGTGAAGGTCCCGCGTAAGAGTGAGGTGTCGCCGTTTTGCCGCAGCTGCATTTTGTTGCCTGGCAGCAGCATGCGCCCACGCCCGCTGACAAGAAACGGCGAAGCCCCAGGCGTCTTCGCCGCGGCGTGCGGTTGGCCGTCATCTGTCCACCCCGCGTAGTACGTTGGGTGCGGGGCCGGGTACGGCACCACCGCCTCCACGTCGCCCAGCGAGAGCAGCTCGACCACGAGCACACGCAGCGGCCTCCTTGACGCACCCGCGGCGCCGCAGTCCGCGGCCGCCGAGGACGCCGCCGGCGCCGCGTACATGTCCCCCGCCCCAAGAAGCGGCAGCACACGCACGCGCCGCTCAAAGGCCAATGACAACGTGTCACGTCCACGAGGTTTGTTAAACGTCGTGCTGGCACGCCGCAGTCGCCGCACTCGTGACTCATCCAGGCCGGCGTAAAAAAAGCAGCGCTGCACCGCAACGGCACCGTGGTGCGGGGAACTTTTCCCTGCGCCTAGTCGGGTTAGCATCTGCGCCGCGTTCTGCTTCCTGGGGATAGGAGAGGAGAGACGGCAAGCCGGCATCGTCGTCAACGACAGCAACAGCAAGAAGGCGGAAACAAACAAGCAAACATGGAGGTCGTACATTCTGACACACGCACACACACACTACACAAAAAGGGAGAGGGAGTCAGTAGACACACCAACGCCGCTCCCAAAGTGCAGGCTGCCCCAGGAGTGTATGTGAGGGCAAAACGCAATGCTCTCTGCCCTCGCCACAGCAAGCAGAACTTGGAGGCGCAGGACAAAAAAAAAAAGTTTAAAAAGCCTAAATTCCACTTTCCCACTCAGCATCCGCCTTTTTGTTTCTCTTTTTTTTCTTCTTATTTTTTTTTTGCTCTATCCCTCTCTTCTGTCCGCCTCTCTGTGTAAATCCCTCATTCCTTCACGTTTCTTGATGTATGTGTGCGTGTTTTGTTTTTTTCTTTCTTTTTTTGTTCCGGCTCTCAGCCAGATGTCAACTCGAACCCGCCCACTTCGAAAGGTAATTGAGGGTAGCCTTTGACGTCTCCGGAATTGCGGCGAGTGACTGCGACGCCAGTTCTCCAGGAACAGGCTGGTGCGTCAATTGCAGTGTGGGTGTGGGAAAGAGTGAGGCGGCGGCCTGTTTGCCGCGTTTGCCTCGTGCCGGCTTGGGAGCGGGAGCCGCGGCGCTGCCTGTGGCCCTTCGCTGGCCCCCCCGCCTGGCAGAAGGCTGCACGGGATGCAGCTCCGTCGCATCCGCGTCGTCGTCGTCGATCACCTCCACCTCCTCACGTTGGCGCTTGCCGCGGCAGTTTCCCACGGCTGCGGCCGTGCGAGGGGCGGCCGCCGCCCCCTCCTGGTCCTGCTTCACCGCGTCGGCGATCAATGCGCTTAGCGTCCCACGCCCAAGTCCCGTGTCTGGGAGCGCGTCCTCGTCCGCGTCGCAGGCCCCCCGCAGGGTGGTGCTGGACGCCGCGTTCAGCGCAGAAGCAGTGGCCGACGATGGGGCTCCGAGCGGCACCCCGCTCCCGTCAAAGGCGTCAACTATCATGAAGTCTGCACGCGCGCGACCCGCCTGGGCTTCGTCTGCGGGTCCATCCGATTGCTGCAGCGGTGTTTCCCCTTCTTGCTGCGGCGCCGCCGCGGGGCGAGTGGCCTCCGCGTAGCGTTTGTTTATGTCCTGCTTGTGTCGAACCACCTCGGAGTAAATACTATCCGGCACCAAAATACCGTCCGCGTCCCCTCGCCCCATTGCCTTCCAGACCGACTTCTGACACTTGTTCAGAAGCTCGTTGATGCGCTCGTCAATGGCGTCGCGTTCGCCCTTCTCGGCGAAGGCGTACACCGCGGCGGACACCTCGGGCTCTGAGAGCAGCGAGCAGGCGTCCCGCGCATTCGCGTTAAACACCTCCGCCACCTTTGTGCGTATGTCAGAGGTGTTGAGCAGCGGCACCGGCACCACCGTCGCCGCCGCCCCCTCTCCCCCCGGCGCCGAGGGCAGTCGACGAATAACCGGCTTTGGCTTTAGCGGCCGAAGCAAGTCGGCAGGGTTCACCACGACATCCATGTACTGCTGTCCAAAGCGATTGATGTTCGGCTGGGGAAAGTTCGTGGACTCCGGATCGGTAAAGTCCACGGAAAGCCGCATAAGTGGAAACTTGATGCTTGGGTGGAACGCTAGCACGTCATCCGGGATGCGGCCGACCTGCACCTCCGCCTCTTCTATCATCTCCTCAATGACGAGGCGCAGAAAATCCTCCACGGCGTCCAGGGTGCGTCCGGTGGGGTGTTCTCGCCAGAGTTCCACCGTGCGTCGCACCACGGGACGCACGCTACGCAGCAGAAACGGTGTCAGGCGGTAGGATCCATCACGCACCTCCAACACGCCGTACTGCTTCGGGTTGCACTCCTGCCCCGACAGCGACGTGAGGATGGTGCTCCCCGGCTGAATGATGTCAAACCCCTCTGAGGGTGTAGGGACCATTTGCTGCTCGTGCTCGTTCCCCCAGATAACGAGATCCAGGCCAAAGCCGGCCAGCATGCTTTCAAAAATGCCACCCTTCTCGCCCGGCCCCCCACGGACGCCGCGGTTTTGGTGCAGCAAAAGAATCTTAAACCAACGTCGTCCCGAGACCGGCTTGGGGTGCACAAAGCGAAGCTTTTTCATACGAAAGCAGCGATGCAGCCGCTCATCGCGTACGTTGCCAAGCCCGTACAAGGCGACGTAGGTGTGACCCTTCTTGAGCAGCACCGGCTCCACAACGATGTCGTCCAAGGAGGAGACCTGTCCAAAGTAGTTCACGAGCCCGTTCGATGCCAAAATGTCGATGGAGGAGGTGCCGCCAACGGGGTCGTCGTGGTTGCCGTGAATCATAAAAATCGGTGTGGCAACGTTAATGTTGGGGTCCTGAAAATTCGCGAGCGGCACGGGGTGCGTTGGGAAGTTGCGCCTGGGGTCGCTCAGCAGCGAGAAGGCAATCGGCTTGTCGCCAAGCACGTACGTCCGCAGCAGTGACGTGGTGCGGGCGAGGCAGCCGAGGCTGGGCTTATTGTCGTGAAAGAGGTCCCCGCCGAGGAGAATCGCGTCCACGTCGTGCTCCACGCGTGCGGCGCGCAGGCACTCCTCGAATGTGGTGAAGCTGTCGTTCCCCCGGCGCGGGTCCCGCTCCTGGAAGCCAAGGTGGTTGTCTGTCGTGATGAGAAACTTGAACGTCGAGTGGGACGCGGCGGCGTCCGCCGCATCCGCCATTTGGCTTCTCCCGGCAAAAGCCTTCCGGGGAAAAACAAAAAACCCCTCCCCCTCCTGCTGCAACGCGGTGAGTGGGAAAAGTAAGGGAAGAAAAAAGCAGGGGCAGAGGATGTCTGTGGAAGAAACCGCAAAGGGGCAAACTTCAAAGCAAAAAAAAAAGAAACAGAGAGAATG